TATGGAGTTGATTTTCTTGTTTATGAGATTCTCAAAGCTCCTTCATTCTAGAGATGGGATGCAAGAAATTAAATGCATTCCCTATTGTTGAGCTGTCGTTGTGTGTGCGTGTTGCTGTTGTTGCTGCTGCTGTTGTTGCGTGTTTGTTGTTGTTGTTGCAGCTGTTGTTGTTGCAGCTGTTGTTGTTGTTGCCGTTGTTTTATACTGTTGTGTTGCTGTTGTTATTATGGGTTGATGTAATAATAATAATAACAATAGCGAATATTTTGATTGGTGGACGTGAGGTTTTTGATGTTGTTAATTCAAGCATCTTCATCCGAACGCAATTTAAACACCCACTTGTCAACATTTCAAAACGTTCCTGACGATGATGATGATGTTGATGGTGGTAATGATGACGACGACGACGACGATGATGACGAGATGATGACGAGATGATGACAATGATGATGTTTACCATAACACCTGCTACTTCCTGCAATGTGTTTATAAACAGACAACATTCAAAATTCGCGCGTATACGCACACACTCGTTGTATATATTAATATATATATGTAGGGCTTAAGTGCGCTAATAAAAATATAAAACACACACACACACACGCACATATATATATATATATATATATATATATATATATATATATTCAGATATACTTATATATATATATTTGTCTTAGTAAATTTTTATCAACAAAATTCAGTCTGTTCAAAATTGAAACTTTATTTCCATTTTGAAATTGAAAAAGATGAAATTTAAAAATTCGAATTTAAGTTGTTAAACAATAATAAATCGGTGGTATATATTACATATGTATATATACATACATATATATATATATATATATATATATATATATATATATATATATACGTATATATATATATTTATATATATATATATATATATATCAATCATAGTTAGCTTCCTGTTAATTAGTTAGTTAATAAGGGAGTTAACTAACGCGGAACATGCGGTGAAGCAAATTATCGGAGACCGTATTGCATATGTCTAATTCTATTTGCATTTCAGCTGAACGGTGGCGATAGTGCTTTGTTTATATGTTTGTATGTTTGTGCGTTTGTATGTTTGTATGCTTGAGTGTTTGTATGTTCGTATGTTTGTAAATTTGTATGTGTGAAAGTAAATAGAGTGTCTGTGTCTGTGTGTAGGGTTGGAAATGGATGGTTGGTGTGTGTGTGGTTGTTTCTTGTTAATGCTTGTTTGTCTTGGTGACCATATGAAACGTACTATCGTTCCAGTTTAACAAATATGAAAATGCATTTATTCATTTATTACCATCATCCATTCATCTACAATACCGCTAACATGAGAGGCGGGGCAGGCAAGGTAGTCTTCATGGCTGAAGCCTCCAACATTAGAAATTTGTGCACGGTTGTGGCACGCAAAGTTTAACAAAATCTCTATACGTGTTTGTAAAAATTTGGACGAAAAACTACAATGCTCCACAACAATAAAATTTTGTTAAGTTTTTCTCAAAACAATTGCCTAATATTAATGCATATTCAATAATGTAGTTGGTTCTGACTCAATTCGTATGAAAAGTCCTGATCCAAAAAAATGAACTAAATTTTATTAAACTTTCTTATACTTAATAATAGTTGAAAATCTAAGTTGTCATTAAATGAAGATTGAACTTCTCCCCAGTGCACATAGACATCACACTAATCTACCTAAACATAGACTAATGACGAATAAATTCGAAACCAAAAAAAATGTCAATCATTTGTTTAAACGAACACGAATGCAAATGCATTTGCATGTGCTGTGCAATCAAGTTCTCATCAGTTAATTTGGCTTGGGGAAATTTTTCAAGCAATTAAACACAAATTTGTAATTTGGTGTATCGGTTTAGAAAATAAGTTGTAGTGTGGTGTGGTGTGATGTGGTGTGATGAAAGTGATGATGACTTTGATGATGATGATGGTGATAATGTTGATGAAAATGGTGTTGATGGTGGTTTTGGTGATGATGATGATGAAAGTGATGATGACAATGTAAATAAAAAACAAAGCGGACGATAATTGGTGCTGATTAGCATGGATGATGATGATAATGATTACAGATGATCAGACTGGTTACACTGGCATTTATTATTCATGGGGATCTGTGTGAAGAAAGGATGATGATGTTGACGATGATGACAATTATCTTTTCTTTCATCATCGTCATCATCATCGTCATCATCATTATGTTAATCGTCATCACATCTCTTCGTTATCGTCATTTTCACTCACACCATTATGATAAATAATAATGCCATTCCTAATCTTCTCTTAAAGTTTGTTCTGTGCGTTAAGTTTTGGTAATCTATACATGCCTGCCACTCTTGTGTGTGTGTGCGTGTGTGTGTATGTGTGTGTGAGTGTGTGTGTGTGTGTGTGCGTGTGTGAGCCTTCATTTATACCCTGCTTTCATTTATATTAACATTATTCCGTGTTTCTTGTCACTTTTGAAGCGCTGCAAATGTTTTATGCAGTCTCACGGCAATACCATCATCATCATCATCATTTATCAACATTTCACCATCATTATCATCACACTCATTGTTATTACCATCATTCCAATCATCATCATCACCGCCATCAACACTATTATCATCGCAGCCCAGGCAATCATCATTATCATCATATCCACCAATTTTCTTTCCATTGCATTTATAATCATTCCTCTTTTTCTTTCTCGTGCCTTATCCTTTCAGGACACTGGCAACCATTGACCTCAAAAAAAACCGATCTTTAACACTTTGTAGTAGTTGAAATGTGGTGATATTCAACAAGTGACACAAGGACTTCACGAATGTTATTCGTTGTTAATCACGATCTCTTTTTCCTGCAATTTTTTCAGTAGTTGTTAGATTTTCCATTCTTTCCTTCCGCATGATGTGACCAAAAAACTTTAACAGCCCCCGTCGGATTGTCTCTAGTAGTTTCCTCTTACCGAAGTAAGAAAAGTTCAATTAATTTTCATTATTCTTCTGAAAAACCACATCTCAGCATCGTTCATCCTCTTTCCATTTCTTTAGAAATTGTCTAGGACTCAGAACCGTAAGTTAGCACAGAAAAAATGTAACATCCTAACAGTTTTAATTTTGTTGGTATTCTGATTTTACGGTTAGTGAGAATGTTTTTCAATTTAGAATATGCATCTTTTGCCATAGCTATCCTTCGTTTAATATCCACATCACATTTACAACCTGAGGTAATCAGACTTCCAAGATAAATGAAACCGTTGACTTGTTTCACCTGTCTACCGTTAATGATTATGGAGCAGCTCGGGGTGGTTTTGTTTTTACTGTTAACCATGCACTCTGTTTTGTTGATGTTAATTTGCAAACCTTTCTTTTCACTTTCAAAAACCAGTTTAGTAACAATTGTTTGCAGTTTTTCCATTGAATCTGCTATAAAAGTTGTACCATCAGCATATTTTACATTGTTTATATTCAGGCCTCCACTAGATATTCCAGGTAGATCTTCTACCTTACTCATGATGATCTCACTATAGAGATTGTAAAGATCTGGAGAGAATACACAGCCTTGCCTAATACCTTTCTTTATTTCGACAAAACTAGTCATCATGTCACCAACTTTCATCGCTGCTCTTTGGTGGTCCCAATAGAAGTTTTTGATAACTCTCGTGTCTTTTCCATCAATGTCCAAATTTTCCAACGTTTCCATAAGCTCCACGTGTTTCACGCTATCAAAAGCTTTGGAGTAATTAACGAAACATATAAACAAGTTTTTCTTATTTCAATGGCTCTTTCACCGATCATAAGTGGCATAAAGATAGCCTTTCTTGTGCCACAATCATCTACAAAACCACATTGGACATTTGAAATTTCAAGTCTGATTTCATTATCAATAATCCTTACAATATCATTACAACTTCCACTATTGGCATCATCATTATCATTGATGATATCATGATTATTGTTATCATTATTGTTATTATTATAATTATTATTGTTGTTGTTGTTATCATGGTGACGTCATTCATTCATGTTGATGTTTGCATGGTCTCTCATGACAGCATTGACGCTAACGACATAATTAATAATAATTTTTGCTCCGTCATTTTGTTTTATGTCGTGCCTGATGCTGATGTTGTGGTCGTGGTGGTGATGATGATGCTGATGACGAAGATGACGGTAACGATGACGATTATGATGATAATGATGACCATGACGTTTTTAACCTTTTATTAATGACGACGTATCTGTTTATTGTTGTTTCTTTGGTTGTTATTATTTTGTTTTGTTGCTGTACGGCTATATTTGTTGATGATGACGATGGTGACGAAGAGAAGGACGAGAGTGAGGATGAAAAGGAAGATGAGGTGGAAGGGAGTGACATTTGTTTTAACTGGACATGGGCAGTGCAAGTTCATTGTTGTGGACAAAAGTTGAATGATGATGTACCGGATGCTTTCATATGTTAATGCATCCGTGCGTTTCGTTCTTTCTTTCAATTATTGCAGTTGTTGTTGTTATTATTATTGTTATTATTTTTAATGTTATTTACATTATTGTATTGCGAAATACGAGAGTTGGCAGACTTTTACTAGCTCACTATTTTAGTTACATTAATCGAGTTTTATATCGTTTTAAACTATAAAAAATAGGTGTAAAAATTTCGAAAAATTATGACGAATAAAATGATATTAATTTTTCCTAATTCTAAATATCTATTAAATTTAATTATAATTTTTAACTTAATTTTAATAATAAATGCTGCAAAATGCCCATATTGCTTTAGAGATTTTGTTAAACTCGGAAGCCACTCCTGGCGTTGTACAAAATCTACTGCAAACAGTAACAATTACAATAATCCACGTTTACAAACAGGTGACAATATCATAATTTCTCCAAATTTACTGGCCGATAATTTAAATAATAATATTGCCGTTGATACTGATAACAATTTAACAACTTGTTGCTGTGGTAGACGATGTAAAGGGAGAAAAGGTTTGCGAATGCACCAACGATCGTGCAAAACATTCAAGGACTTGCAAAATTCGAGAAAATCTCCAAATGATCCAGAAGCGGATTCCAAATTGACGTCATCTCCGATGCAACAGAAAGAATCTCCACCGCCGCCAACATCACTGCCACCGGCAAACAACATCACGAACAATACACCACTCCCAGGGATAAAACTACCCAAAACAACAACTCATTGGCTTGAAGCCAATGCATATTTCCACTCTCAGATAGCAACACTGCCAAACATTACTGACATCAATAACTTCACTACCACTCTACAAACACTAATATACAATTATTTCGCATCAAACTACGGCACTCTTAATCAAAAATCAAGCTCAAAAACAACACTCGATAAACCAATCAACAAACTAAAGTCAGAATTGAAACAATTAAAGCTGCTAGGCCGTAACAACCACAATTTTGACGTCCAAATTAGCACGCTGAGCAAACATATTAGATCAAAAATATCATCAGCAAAAGCGATAAAAGCTGGAAAAACAGTCAATATCACAAGCCAATTAAAACAAAAATTCTGGGCAACGTGTGAAAAATTACTAAATCCGACAACCACTCTGTCACCACTGTTTAGCGTCGAAGAAGCCAACAAATTTTTCAACAAAATTTTAAAAGACCCATTTCACAATAAATATCGCCTTCCAAATTGGATCGAACCTCTAACGATCCCTTCAATTGCCTGAAATACTAATCCTCCTACGTACAATGAAATATTCTCAATAATCAAGAAATGCAAGTCGAAAGCATCTCCTTGTCCGCTAGATCAAATGTCAATAATAATTCTCAAAAAATGTCCCATACTTTGCACAATCTTTCATCTATTACTGGTTGAGTGTTGGAGAACGTCGTCGATCCCTACATGCTGGAGAAAAGGGTTGACCATACTGATATACAAAAAGGGAAACGCCAACGACCCAGCGAATTTCAGGCCAATAACACTTCAACCAGTAATCTATAAAATTTTCTCAACATTTGTAAACAATAGAATATACAAATATTTAGATTCAAACAACTTCATTAATAAAAACATCCAAAAAGGCTTCTACCCCAAAGTTGGCGGTGTAGCTGAACACACGCAACTACTATCTCACCTTCTAAAGGACGCCAAGAGACATCAGAGGACAATTATTGTTACCCTCCTAGATTTAAGAAATGCATTTGGCGAGGTTAGCCATGATCTAATTTCATCTATCCTAAGTTATCACCACATCCCAAACCAGGTCAGCAATCTAATTAGATCAATATACGCCGATTACTCGATAACTGTATCGGCGTGCAACAAACTAACCTCCCCAATTCAAGTAAAAAGGGGGGTCCTACAAGGTGACCCAGGCTCACCATTGATTTTTAACCTCTGTTTCAATCCTCTAATGAAAATGCTAGAAGCAAAACAATATCAACAATGCGGATACATATGGGGACCAACAGCCAATCTAAAATCCAGAGGCTGGTTTCAGTTTGCCGACGATTCGGCAATCATTGCTAACAGTTCCGAGAGTGCCCAGAGACTGATCAATCTCAGCCAAGCATGATGCAAATGGACGGGTAAGAAGCTGAGAACTGACAAATGCTGTACATTTGGGATGAGAAAGCTGGACGGAAAGTATGAGCAGTTTTTGCCTCAATTGACAATAGATGATGAAATAATTCCCCGGGTGAATATTAACGAAGGTTTTACATACTTAGGAAAAATTTACGATTTTGAGGGCAAAGATACCAGAGAGAAAGACAAACTGCACAATAACCTCAAGGTTATGCTAAGGAAAATTGGTGGACTGGATATAACTGTTCAATGGAAGCTGGAAATTCTTAGGCGTTTTGTCCCTACTCAAATCTCATTTGAACTACGCACCTACAATATTTCGCTAACCTGGATAGAAAACACACTGGACCGCCTTGCGACAGAAACAGTAAGAGAATGGCTATCACTGCCCATAAGCAGTTGCATCGCCGAAGTTAGCTCGCTGCCGTATAAAACTGGTGGCCTCAACATAAAATCGTTGAAACAGCACGCCGAGATATTACGTCTAAAACTCCGTGGTTATCTCAAATTGAATAGTAATGAAGAAATGAGATCATTGTGGAGTGAATCTCCCAAAGATTGACAACCTGATCCTGGGAAATGTTGAATTAAAACCAGCAATGAATGCTCTAAAACAGAAGCATTATGAAACGAACTTTAATCATCTCTCGCTGCTGCAATGCCAAGGTACCCTTGTGAAATCAATAAAAGAGTACATCAATAGCTCCGAGATAACGCGATGGTCCAGGTCGACTGTAAAGCTATCAGAGGTCCTCTATAAATTCACCAGAAAATACCTTATTCAACAGCTACCAACAAACGCCAGCCTCTTCAGATGGGGCAAAACTACAAATGCATCATGTTTGCTCTGCAATGCAACACAAACGAACAAACACGTCATGTCAAACTGTGGCTCATCATCTGCATTGAACAGATACTTAGATCGCCACAACAAAGTTTTAAAAATAATTATCGATAATTTCATGGTAGTCACGAGGCCGGGTGTCGAGATTTTTGCGGATTTGAAAGGGAAAAAGATACGACCAATAACAGACTTGTTCAGATCACTTCGTCCTGACATTGCTGTCCGCAACAAAGACACGATCGAGATACTTGAACTGACTGTCTGCCATGAAACTAACTTCATAAAATCAAAACAATTTAAAATGAATAAATATATTGGTAATTTGAAAGATAATATTATTGATGACTTTAAGCATTGCAATATTTTAATTAATACCTTTGAAATATCGCCAATTGGCTTTTACAATCCTTTTAATATGTCTTTAATTGATATAACTTGGACCGATTATTTTAGATTTAGCTTGATTAACAGTGTAATTTCGTCATCATATGCTCTGTACTGTGATAGAAACAATGAGTGAAGTTTTTTAATACTATTTATCATCATGGTACTTACTTATTTTCATAAGATGACGAGCAATGATGACTATCCGTATTACTCTAACACTTTATCTTTATTTTATTTTATTCATCTAACTGTATATTTAACTATATTCAATTTTATTTCATTGTCAATATTTTGATTTTACTTATGCTCTATCTTTGGAAAATAAAAGAGTTCACATTATTATTTTCATTATAAGATTTATTATCATTCTTCATTTGTCAATTTAAGCTCTTTTATTGTCTTCATCATATTTGACCAATTATCAGTTATTATTAGAAGAATCTTGTTTTGTTCGATCTGCCATTCATTTAATGTGTGGCTTATGATATTGGCAACAGCTGATCCGGTATGTAGGTGTTTGGTAGTATGCAAGTTCAACAACATGCATTCTGGTCTAGCTTTTTCATGGTTGAAAAGAGATACAGATATAGGAAAAAAAGTTACCTCTAAGTTTTTCTTAGTCTATATATCCATACCAGTTGTAATGCGGTTTGACGTCTTTAAAAGATTTTTCATAAGTGCTTCAGCGCTCTGTCTCAATTCCTCTATGTAATTAAATAATAATTTTCATCATGTAATATAATATAATGTCAAAATCTAAAATTTTTAATTAGAAAATTATTAAATTTTATTGAAAAAATTAACCTGGAGGTTTCAGTTTTGGATCTAGAGTTTCGAACACGGTCTGAATTTTCTTCCTGTCTAAAAATGTCAACGGCAGGTTTGCATCTATAAAAGCATCAACAATAGACTTAATTTTTTTTCTTGAACTCAATCGACTCTTCAGCCCAGTATTTATTGCTGCTATTCTGGATAGGTTTTTTTTGAAATAACTTTAATGTTACGCACGAATTTGTTCTTCTTATTTCTTCCTTGGCAACATTTTCTTTTTGTTTATTTTCCCTGTTCGACAATTCTTGATACTCTTTAGAATGGTTTGTTTTCATAAGTGTCTTTGAGTTTGCTGGGTTTTTTCTTTAATTATTTATGTACAATTACCTTCATTACATAAACGCATGCGTGTGTTCTTAAGTGAAATTATGAATTACGACAATGAACCAACTTTAAAAAATTTACGATTACGCAACGAAAACAACAAACGGTTTTAAAAAAAGTCTGAAATTAAATACTGAACATTGCAGTTGAAACAAAGACTGCAAATCCTAAATTTTATTAAAATTTAATAAAGTCTATGTAAAATTTTATTTGAATTAATCTTTTTCGTTTCACATTTAGTTCGTTCAGTTTTCGTTTAAATTTTATTCTCGTTTAATTTTTTTAGTTTTCGTCTTCGTTTCAGTATTTAAAAAACAAATATTTTTCATTTAGCTAGTCTTCATTTTTGTTAACAAAGCCCACACTACATCCTACGCAGTTGTTTTTCAGACATTCACATTATAATGCATCGAATTGAATGCATATTTCTCTTCATGGAAAATTATGTACAGTTATATTTTTGAATATAAAAGAAGTCAACATGTGTTTATATTTTATGCTAGAATAATTTAATTTTCCAAATAAAATAAAACAAAAAAAAGTTTATACTTTTGACGAGGCCGTGCATTTGGTTTTCATAAACATCTAAGTTGTGGATCCTTTATTGAGTTGATTTTTAGTAGAAATGGAGTTTTTAAATATTATATCTTTTAATCAATTTATCTGTAAATAAGAATAATAATTAATTATGTTAATTGTTTGTTTTTTATTATTATTAATTATTGATAATTATCATTTATTTATAATAGCATTTACGTCACATTTTACACAACCACTGCATATCTGATCGGGACAACATTGGCTACGCAATACAAAATATCATAAAGATGTTGTCTGTCGGCTTTTATTTCATTAGCATCAGTTATGTTGATGAGATTAATTAGCATCGGTTATGTTAATGAGATTAATTAGCAACAAATATGTTAATGAGATTAATTAGCAACGAATGTGTTAATTAGATTAATTATTACCGTTACTGTGATAATAAAACTGATTAAATAATTTATATTAATAATTTGAATATTTCAGCTTTATCAATGAAACCAATAAATAAGTTACTAGTTTAGAGTAGCAAGAATTTCATTGTTAATATTTTTCATGTTTGTTGAAGTTGTTGTTGCATGTAATACTGATTTTTTGTTATATTTGTGTTGTTTTTATGATTTTAGCAATGTTATTATTATTATTGTTGTTGTTCTACTACTGCTGCTGCTGTTGTTGTTGTTGTTGTTGCTATTGTGTGGTTGTTGTTGTTGCTATTGTGTGGTTGTTGTTGTTGATTCTATTGTGTGGTTGTTGTTGCTATTGTGTGGTTGTTGTTGTTTTTGCTATTGTGTGGTTGTTGTTGTTGTTGCTATTGTGTGGTTGTTGTTGCTATTGTGTGGTTGTTGTTGCTATTGTGTGGTTGTTGTTGATATTGTGTGGTTGTTGTTGTTGTTGCTATTGTGTGGTTGTTGTTGTTGCTATTGTGTGGTTGTTGTTGTTGCTATTGTTATTTCTGTTTCGGCCAGCGTCAACGTTGATGTGGTTCTTAACGTGTCTGGAAATATGCAGTGATAAAGAATCGTTGTCATTCGTGCTATCGTGTCATCGTGTGCTATCATGCATTATTTTGATTGCAACATTTGCTCATTTTGTTGATTGCTTGGTCGCTTGGTCGGCTGGCTGTTTGATTGGTCGATTGGTAGGTTGTTTGGTCGGTCGGTTGGTTGGCAAGTTGATGGTTGGTCGGTCTTTTGATTGGTCGATTGGTT